TTAAATGATACTGTTTGTGTTCATTTTCAGTTAAATAAAATCCTGTTGACTAATCCTAGCAGTTACACTCTTAAAAATACAGGTTCTTTCTTGGCATTCATCCATAGAACATTTCCATTGCGCAAAATGTTTCTAGAATATAAAAATGTTCTTCACACTAAGGAAAAAAATGGCTGTTTTAAGATCTATTCACATTAAGGTTCTTTGAGGAATCCAAAATAGTTCTTCTATTGCAACCCTGCAAAAACTCACTTTTGGAACCTTTATTTTTAAAAGTGTACATTGTGGTTCAATTTAATGCAGTCAGCCTAATTTATATATGTAGATGTTTTTGTGCCAATTAAATGAAATTCAGCAATTAGAACATTTTAAAATCTGAATAAAAGTATTAAAAGAATCTTTTGAATTTAAAACGATATTGTTCCCTTAAAGGTTAAATAGTTCTTGTTAGCAACACAGTGCAGCCACTTTATTTAAAAGAGTGGTTTGACTGTACTAAACTACAGTTTAGACAGTATTAAACTAGTTTGTAGCATGGCATTCTACTGTACAGTTTCAAAATAGCTTCCTTAACGCTGGTAAAGAGGGGGAAAGTGTGATAACAGGTTAACTCAACATAATGCAATGACATCTGATTCATAGAGAAACGCTGTTGACAGGGAGTTTACAAGAATAAAAGGCATCAGGATGCAGTTTCATTCTTCTCTTAACTATGCTAAAACAATGCAAACAACTATTTCTACATTTTCTGAGCAAAATGTAAGTGGTGCTTACCAATGCAAAAGTCACGCCACAACGCCAGGCTGTTGTGGGTGGTTGCCACGTCGCTTCTATGCAGTTGCTAACATGTTCTGAGTGTTTTTAGCACATTATTATATGGTTGCACCTCCTCTATGATATTCTAGGCTCCTAAATATGGTCTATAGACTATGGGTAAAAACTGCACGTCAGTGATCGCACATCACAAAAGTAATAGCACACCTCTTCTCAACAATCTCATGACCACAGGAAGAGTTTAGTTTAATAAGGGCAGAGGTTTGTTCAAATCCCTATCCCTGAGTATGAGCAACAATAAAAATGATGCTTGCCTTAGCAAAAAACACTAATTATGTTTCGTTCACTGCATTTATTCTCATTACAATGTGCAGAGCATTGATAAAGTAGTTTCACTTTTCACCGTTTTAAATGCAAGATTCTTATAAAATACCACTAATTCATCACGTAATGTTTATAGGCATGTCTTTTTAAAATGTTTTTGAAAGAAGCCTTATTCTCACCAAGGCTGCATTTATTTGATGAAAATACAGTAAAAACAGTAATATTGTGAAATATTATTACAATTTAATATAACTATATCAAAGCCGAATTTTATATTATAAAATATATATTTTTTCTATTATTAAGAAAAGAAAATCTTACTGACCCCAAACACTTGAACAGCCTCATACATTTACTATAAACCCCTTCATTAAAAATTTGACCACTGAAAATGACTGTCGAATGCAGTATCATTGGTTCTATTCTGCCTTTAGGTTTTCTGGCCCTAAATGACCCTCTGGCAACATGAATAGTTAAAAACCAATCAAAATGGGGAGACCATCATTTCAACAGAAGCCTGTTAAGTCATCCTGAAGGCTAAACATTTGAGTATAATTAAATTACTATAAGGTTGGCTTTATAAGGGAATAGTTGCTTGATTCTTGCAGGCTTCTTATGTGGTCCTAGAGTGAATATTAAAACCCCAGAGTACAGTGAACTTGATTTATTCTGCTCTGCTGCAGCCAAAATGAGTCAGAAGCTCTGTTCCAAAAAATAGTGAACTACCTATCCTGCATTTTAAGGCATCGTCTTGATACTTATATTGTACTACTTCATTCAATACTGAAGAACAATGCAGAATCTAATTGGAATGGACTATCAAATCCAATATTTTAGTGTGCTGTGTAATGTTGTGCTTATTAGAGTATTGCGTAGTTATCTTAGCAACATGCTAATCCCAAATTCTACGGAAATCATATTAGTAAATATGAGTAAAGTAGCTGAAACAGTCCTGAAAGAGAAATCAAAGAGCTTGAAATGTCAATAATGAGAAAATTGCATAGTAAGCTCTACATCTGCTGTGTTTATTCATGAGGTCTCTGCCCAATCTCATGACTATGCTAATGAGAATGCAAATACGCAAATAAAAGTTTGCTGAACTTGACTAGTCTCACTTACAGTCTGTTTACTCAATGCCTGATGCATATTACACACAAAACTGGAAAGAACTTCCTCAATCCAGCAAAAACGCCATTGCTTATTGGACATAAAGGTTGTTAAACAGTCCACCTGGAAATAGTGCACATGTAGAGAGCTGTATTTTCCAGTTTTCTTTCCAGTCAATACACATTTTCTGTTTGTAAAGACTACAGCACCATTATTTGATATACTTTTTGAAGTGACGTGACATGTGGCCAAGTATGGTGACCCATACTTGGAATTAGTGCTCTGCATTTATCCCATCCAAAGTGCACACACACAGCAGTGAGCACACACCTGGAGCAGTGGGCAGCCATTTTTTGCTGCGGCGCCCAGGGAGCAGTTGGGGGTTCAGTGCCTTGCTCAAGGGCACCTCAGTCATGGTATTGACGGTGGGAGAGAGCGCTGTACATTCACTCCCCCCACCTACAATCCCTGCCGGTACAAGACTCGAACCCGCAACCTTTGGGTTACGAGTCCGACTCTCTAACCGATAGGCCACGACTTTTTTGTTTTAAAAACATATGTATGTATTGTAAACCTCCACCTTAAAAGCACATCAAAACGAAATATTTAGCTAGTCAGTTTCTGGCTACATGAGACTAAACTGGTGTTCCTTCTTCACCAATGAAAAACCAGCAAGACACCAACAGAGTCCATGATAGTCTTTACAGCAAAACTACATATTGACCATACTGTGAAAATGCAGTGACACACTTCAAAATGTTTGTGGGCATTAATAACAGACAACAAAAGTATTGAAGTCAGCATTATAGTATGATTTTCACATGATGAGACTGTTAGCACATAGTCTGAGACGCCATACTGAATTTAACACCGCAGAAAGAGGCTGTGAAGGATTGATCTTTACAATGGCACACACTGTAAAGGACCTAAATCACATAATTTTCATACAATTTCACATAATTTTTTTTTTTGTTTGTTAATACGTTTCATCAGTTGAACACTCGGCATGTTGTCAAAAAACAGCCTACAATCCATTGAACGCCCGTACTTTTACAACCTAGTTTTTATTCCTGTCAAAAATGTAATACGGCACTGGGTCTATTGTTGAAAGTGTTCCAACAACTCCAAAACAATTATTCTACCAAATGGAAAAAATATACACTGTAAAAAATGACCGTGAATTTAACGGTAAAAACCTGTTAAATGGTTAATGGTAAATTCCCCTACTATATACGGTGAAAAACTGTATTGGACATTACATGAATTGGACATTATTTTTACGGTAGTATACCTTTTTTGGAAGTTAAAAAGACCATATAATTTACAGTGAATAAAAAGTAAATTGACATTCCCAGAATTCCCTGCATTACATTTCAAATTTGATGTTTTTTTGTTGAAATAAATATGTTTCTTCTTAGTTTTTTCTTATCAGTTTTGTATATTAGGGTTGTGTGTTACACCTAATGTTGTTAAATGAATGTTTATTGTATTATTTCAGTTTCATGTGTGTCACCATGATGGTGTTAAGTGTTTGTGTGAATGACACTGTGCACCTTCTATATATGTTATTATCTAAAAGTTGCTTGTGATGGGCTTTGGTTCATCATGTGACTGCCTGCATTTGGTGGTTATCAGTGTATTACAAAGGTGCAAAACAGATTTCAGTACTTCAATAGGTTGGTATATTAACATTATATCAGTTAATGAAAATATGGTATTTAACTGTAAATTTAAGTTAAAACCTAAAATATTGCTACCGTATTTTTTACGGTAAAATTCCGGCAACCACAGCTGCCGGTTTTTTACCGTAAATTTTACGGATTTTTTTTTACAGTGTATATATTAGGAACGTTTCTTTGCTAAACAAATTGAAAACAAATTAGGTGGAAATCAGGCACATGCATTCTTAAAAATCCCTTTTCAAATTTTAAAAAAATGACTTTGAACTGACAGAGGTCAAGTTACTTAACCCAGTTAGTCATCTTTCACTTTTTCATCACATCATATACAAGTGTTTATACACGACCATTTATGCTGTCCTCAATAATATTATGCAATAGCATAACCTACTGCGCTCATATTCAAGAGCTGAACTGACATTATTCAAAAATATTAAGTTCTCCCCTCATAAAATATCAAAATGCAAAACCACTTAAGCGCCTTTTAATATTAAATGAATAAAAAATTATGAATGGGTAGCCCCTCACTCAAGTGTATAAAACAGCAATACACTATTTAAAAACTATTAAGTGACTGTTGAAGTGTATTGATGCGCCTTTTATTGCGGATTAGATACAGATGCACCGTTGCAAACGGAAGCAATGGGTTTAAGCTCATTCCCTTCAAAGCAGTGGCATCTCCCAGTCAACTACTTCACAAAACTCAGAGCACAGACGCAAAAAGTCTCCAAATGAAAGGATATTTCTCGTACTGAGCGTCTGAGCCATCTCTCTCTCTCTCTCTCTCTCATACACACACACACACACACACACACACAATTCGAGATAATTCCTCTAGCCAGTGAGCTTCCATACAGTGGGATGGAGTTGCAATAGAGACCCTGCACGGTTTGCAGGTTCTTAAACCGATTGTAAAACGGGGGCAGAAGGGTCTCTTTCCCTCACGAGCACACAGAAAGTGTGTGGACTTGGAGTGATCAAATGACAGCAGTCCTCCACCTGCATCACTGAGAGCATCAGCATCAGCAGCAGCAGCAGCATCAGTGGTACTCTAGCGCAGGAGGACGCTGAGGGAGGAACACGGGGGATGCAGCAGAAATCCATCAGCCCTCTTACCTTGAAAGGGAACATATGACATGTTCCAACGGCATTGAACGTGCTCTCCGTGTCTCTTCAGTCTCTCGACATGCAAAAATATCCTTCAACAGTCAAAAGAAACGAAAACCCCCTTGTGCTCATGGACTGCGTCGATGCTGGAGCGATATTCCCGTGATGCGAATGGAAAAACCGAAACAAAATCATCGTCCATGGTCGACGAGAGCCATTGGAATGATTGCAGCCCGTGTATCACATCACATATCACACACGCGCAAAACAAGAGTGATGAAGAAGAGGAATACGAAGGGAGAGAGAGAGACAGAGAGAGAAGGGGGCGGTGAAGGGAGAGCGCGCGCGTGTATGTGTGTGTGCGTTTTCCAGTGTAGCTCGACCTAAATGCACTGTGTGTATGTCTGTTAATGTGATGTGATATAATTCCCCTATAGAGTCACATGACTATTAAATACCACCGAATACGGATATGGTAATCACGGTGATGTGCATCATGTATCTCTATGATGCCATCTCTGTTGATTCTCAAGTTACACAATGAGTGGACAGTTCATTTGAACCTCGATGTGAAATCTTACAGAATTTAACCTCAAATATAAACTTTTTTTATATTATTATTTTTTTTTAACCAAACTCAAACTACAGACTAGCTAAATGTTAAAACTCCACTTTCAGTGCTTTCCTTTAATTGTACAGTAGGCCTATATACATTAGCTAAGGCAAAGTAGGCCTATCACTATTACTAGCCTATTGCTCATGGGCTTATTGGGATTTGAATAAAGCAGGCATGAATGATTCCTCAAATCATGCAGCTTGTTGAAAAGACATGCTATTACTTTACTTTAAGGTGACCAGCCTCATGACTTTTAGTTGAAAAATGTTCGAAAAAGTCCTACTAGACTTACAGTGAAGGAGGAATGATCCATATCTGATACCAGAATATTGCAGAGAGGGGAGGAATCTTTCGACTTGAGTCAGCAAGCAACCATCTAGTAATGCCCTAGCAACCACCAAGAACACCTTTGCAACCAGAAAGCAACGTGCAACCAACCGCAGTCGGTGGGTTTTATACAACAATGAATCACTCAAAATTTCTTGTGTAAAAATAAATTAACATTTTTTTACAAAATGTAAATGTAAAAATAAGATTTTTTTTTTCTCATTTAAATAAGCTCAAACGTCTTAAATGTGCCAAACTGGGATCTGTGGAAAAGGTTTAAAAAAAAAAAAAAAAAGTGTAAAAAAAGAAATTAATACAAATAAATAAATCAAAATGTGATTAAATAAATCAAAATGTAATGTAAAATGTTTTAAAAAAAATCAATATATAAACAATACATCTATCAGTGCTGTATTATAATGAGTAAAAACATTTTTCAAAGTATTGGATCTTCATACATGAAAATATATTGCTGCCTTTTAAATTTTAGATGCGTTCAGTTGCGTCTAAAAAACTAAAAACTGCTGCTGTAAGCATTTTTTATGGGAAGACTTCATTTAGCCAATCAGAAGACTTTAAGTCACTCTCTGCCTGTCAATCATTTTGCATGTTCCAAATATGGAAAACAGAAAGCTGAGAGGGTTCGAGTTGTAGTATCATTCCAGGATTATATATATGTATGTGTGTGTACGTATATATTACAATGGCAATGGTGTTATGCTGCCATTCAGCTTCTTTCATTTAAATTTTCATTAATTTTAAATTATATCTAAACATAAAGTAACTAACTATTACATTTCTCTTTATTGACATGGTAAAAAAAATGCATTTGAACTTGGTCCTATGTCGTACAGTGAGAGAGGTTCAAAAAGGTCTTGCGTACAAAGACAGTCGCTTTTACATGGCGCTAAAGCCTAAAACTTCTTAGCTCAAATTCTTTTCCCTTCCTCTCCTGCAGCTTCCTCTTTTTTTCAGCACACATAAAAAGTAAAAACTGCCAAACTGTGATTCGTCATGCTCTTTTTGTTCACCACTATAGCGTATGCTGATGACGTTTTATTCTTCAATAGTAACTTGCATCACTAGTGTCATCATCATCCTACAGTCTGCATACGTGTCGTACCCAAGTTTATTAGATCCATGTCGCACAGTGTGATAATGATCTTATAAGATTGCTGAAATCACAGTCTGTAGGCTCCATGCAGACTTGTTTTCCGCCATCTTTCATGTAGACACGCCCCCTGCAACACCATAACTAGTTTCCGCTTCAACACTAACTGCGGTTACTGAAACCACGCCTTCTTTCTTTGCGTGCACATTTGGGCGGCATTATGCTAATATTTCCACATAGTGAGGTAGATATGTGGGGGCGTGTTAGAACGAGCCGTTTTAGGGGGGCGTGGCAGAGTCTTAACTTTGATAAAGAATATCTCTTTGGTTTTGAGACTTTAGTCTTTGCAACTTCAGGGATCTTATCTATGCACAATCAGCTTGTAACACTCCAAAGAGAAAGGAAAACTTGAAATCGCATCATATGACCCCTTTAAACACGACTAGGCTTGGTCAATCATGTGCACATTCTAATTATAACATTTCCGAGTTTACACAACAGTACAGATATGAACAAATAATGCAAATTTACTTCTCTCAAGATTCTCCAGAGAGCCATAAAGTGAGGCCTGCTGTCAAGGCAACTGGAGCCAAAATGGCGTTCAACGCAGACAGAGTAAACTCTAAACTACGTCAATCCTGCTGTCTACTGTTATGTTATTTCTCAAAATAGATGACAGTCCTTATAAAACATAATACGACGCGTTTTAACTTCTCAGAAGCATTATAACAAAATTTCCTGGACTGACATAAGAGTTCTCACATGTTAGGTAGGTGGGCGTTCAATGCTCGTACACGGCTGCCACCTGGTGGTCGCAACATTGAACACAAGCACACACACACACACACTCTCTCTCTCTCTCTCACTTTCACTCTCACTCACTCACACATACACAATCTTTTAAAAAATGTAAAAGAAAGTTCATGTCAAAGACAAAAGTCAAATTCCTCATGTCTGACACACAGTTTGGCTCTTTTTGATCAGACATAAGAAATTGTTCTTAACGTTTTTGTACCTCATTATTGCGTTGTTCTTGACAAAACATTGCTATTCTGACATTATTTCTCCATCAAAACGGCAGAAATAGTCTAATTCATGTGGAGGTTCCTAGAGTGTCCAAATGAAGAAATTATGAGATGTGTGTATGTTCATATGCTCTGTTGTTATCATTTACTGGAAAAGATATTTGAAACAACATTTAAAAAAAAAGTCCTCTAAATCTGTGGGTAGAGGAATTGGACAAGTGAAACTTTTATACAACATAATGATACCTTTTTATTGTTTGTTTACATTTTAGGTGTAAACCTAGAGTACATATAAACATAATCTGACAAAAAACGTCAAAGAATACATCAAATTAAACTTTGACTTGACTATAAAAAAAGACTACAGTCTTCTAATTCTTGTCACCCTGACGTGAAATTAGTCCATCTATGACCTAACAAGTACGTACCATGGATTAAAAAAATCACACACAATACATTCATTATCATTCACTGATGAAATGAGCTTCACATAAGGACTAACAGCCTCACGCTTTTATTCAGGTAGAATGGTCTGCATGTAATCTGTAAAGGACCTGATTAATGTTTTCAGTTTCTGCCATCTTGAATCATATGTCTGATGCTGCACTTTAAAAAAAAAACAATAAGCAATAAGCTATTTGAGTTACTATGGAAATCCACAAACAGTAAGAAAAAAAACATGCTTTGGTAGATCACAATTATGACATAAAAGGATGAAATTTTGACATTTTAAGTCATATTTATAAAATGAAAAGTCCAAACTGACATTAAAAAAATCATTTATAAGGACAAGTCATAATTATAACAAAAATAAATTATAACATGCAAATATGACATAGGAAGTCAAAATCACACAGAATGGTCTGCATGTAATCTGTAAAGGACCTGATTAATGTTTTCAGTTTCTGCCATCTTGAATCATATGTCTGATGCTGCACTTTAAAAAAAAAACAATAAGCAATAAGCTATTTGAGTTACTATGGAAATCCACAAACAGTAAGAAAAAAAACATGCTTTGGTAGATCACAATTATGACATAAAAGGATGAAATTTTGACATTTTAAGTCATATTTATAAAATGAAAAGTCCAAACTGACATTAAAAAAATCATTTATAAGGACAAGTCATAATTATAACAAAAAGAAATTATAACATGCAAATATGACATAGGAAGTCAAAATCACACAAAAAAATCACAATTATTTCAAAGATTTAGACTCATAATTTTGACTTTTTATGCCATTGTGACTTTTGTCATAAAATGTTGCCAATTATGACATGGTAGGTCTTTTTTTTTTTTTTTTACTTTTTATCTCATAAATATGACTTTTTATGTCATAATTTTGACTTGACTTTTTATGTCATAACTATGACTTTTGCCATAATTATGTCTTATGACTTTTTGTCAATTATGACTAGGTCATAATAGGTAGGTCATCATAATTTGTACTTTTTATGTCATATTATTACAGTATGTCATAATTATTACATCTCATAAATATGACATTTTGTCATCATTTCAATTTGACATTTGATTTCATAATTGTGATATACCAAAGCACTTTTTTTTCTTATGTGTCAGAAATAGGCTTCCGTAAGTTAGCGATTTTAACAGGGTTCAAAGATTTTAGAACAGTCTGATATTCATTTAAATTCCTCCTCTGAATAGCACATGCTGAGAAACTAATTTTTCATTATTACTTAAAAATGATCTCTTGATGTTTAAAAATGGGTATTAGCTGCAGTCTGGATGTTTTGTTTGCCACCCATCATGAAAAGTTTCTTGCCTGCTTGCTATTGAAGGAATATTCCAGGGTTCTGTAAAAGTTCAACAGCATTTCTAGCATAATCTTAATCCCTCATTTTCTTAAATAAACAAATAAATAAAAAGTTGCAAATATCAAGATTATTTTGAAGAATTTACAATGGAATTAACAGGGTCAATTTGTAGAAAATAAATTAGTAAACTACTAGCATTGTAACATTAACAGTCTGGCCTCCTTCACTTCCATTTTAAGTGTAACCAACATTTTTGGAAGTGGAAATAATTTTTTAGTAATTAACAATATGCCACAATTGCCGTCTACTGAGTTTAACTTGGACTAAACCTGGAATAGTTCTTTAATGACTATTTTTAGAGGAGCACTCATTTCCCTGTCCTTAAAATATTACAATTATTGATGTGACCGCATGATGAAGCTTTCCTGAAATTTCTGACCGATATGTGTACATGAACAACAAGTGATGAATAGCTTATACAAATCATGATAATAAAGTTCAAGGCATTCTAAAGGCGTTTTCTAACAGTATTCAAAATATAGGAGACACTGTAAAAGAACGTGTAAGAGATTTAACAGTATAATCTCAGAGTGAAGCTGCTGTGTAGCTCAACCTGGATTTGCTAGATGTGGTTTTCTTCTCCCGACCTCAGAACACCCACCTGCTCATTGATGCTTTCACACCTCTGCTCGTAACCATGCAAACTCTAATGATGCATCTTGATGTCTCTAGCCCTTTCCTCTTTCTCTGTCGCACACAGGTTCTCAGTACACGTTCACATTTCCCCATTCCACTAGGTACTGGACTTTTCCGTCCGGTGTTATGCGTCTGGCCAGGATCCTGACGGAGTCGCTTCCCCCCCACCCCATCGGTGTGGGCCCACCGATACCGACTGTACTGGGGTAGGGTGGCACGTCATGCAGGAAGAGAGACGGGCAGCTTTCATAGCGCTGTCCGGTTGGGTGAGCCGAGGTCATAGAGAATGGAAGGCAGGGGGCTGGAAGTCGACAAGGGTCCTCTGCACTGAAGACAACAAATTAGACATGCAAAAAGAACTCAATCTGAAGGAACAGTTCACCCAAATGCATCTTTATACAGTACACTGCAAAAAAATATTTTCTTACTTGGTATTTTTGTAAACATGCATTTACTTAAAAAGCAAAATGATACAAGATATTGTTTTGTTTCTGAAAAATGTATAAAATTAAGTGAGTTTATGCTTGAGACTTAATATGTGATCTGACTAAAGAATATTTAGATACTTGAACTGGGTATTGTTTGCAGTGTAGTGTAGTAAGCAGTGAAAAAAACATAAATATTTAAAAATAATAATATTAATAATAATAATAATAAAATACAATGAAAGTACCATAGAAGTAGTCCATAGGACTTGAATACTACAGTATATTCCAAGTCTAAAGCCATATGACAACTTTGTGTGAGAAACAAACCAAAATTTAAGTCAATATTTACTAGTGCTGTCAAACGATTAATCGTGATTAATCGCATCCAAAATAAAAGTTTGTTTTCATATTATATGTGTGTACTGTGTATATTTATTATGCATATATAAATACAAACACATGCATGTATATATTTAAGAAAATATGTTATATTTATATATTAAATATATATTATATAATATAAATGATATGAATATAAATATAAACATGTAAATACATGTAAAGATTTTCAAAATATATACTGCATTTGTGTGTCTTTATATATACAAAATAAATGTACACAGTACACACACATATATTGTGTAAACAAAAACGTTTATTTTGGATGCGATTAATCGCCATTAATCGTATGACAGCACTAATATTTACTGACAATCTTCAGTAATGTTCAGTTCTGAAAAATTTGCATTTGCATTCAAATTTAGATTTTTCATTTTCAGCATTAAATAGATGCATTTCAATGTATTCTTTATTCACAGACCTGTAATGATGCAGAGTTCTAGACAGGTCCTGAGATCCGTTGCATGAAGGGTGATAGAGCGCATACATTCTCTTGGGGGGTGAACTATAATACATAAAGACTTTTTAAAATAAATTAAATGCAATTAAGGTTCACGGTGTGAATTTCACTGCAGTTCAAAGTTGACTTTAACATGCTACAGACCCCAAATTCATCTCTTCCTCTTGTTTTCTAGGGTTATACAGGTTTGTTCCATCAACGTAACCGTGGCAACATGGCACCAGGTCAATAGCATTTGTCGCATCTCCTGTTGGACAAGTCTAAAAAGACATGATCAACAGTTATATTAATAAAAATATGTAAGCTTAAAGGGCATAAACACCAGGATTTTTTTTTTTTTTAAATCACTTTTTGTACATGGAAGAAATAAAGTCACATGAGGGTGATTAAAAAATGACAGCACTTTAATTTTTCAATGCATAGTACTATAGATACAGTGAATATCAAATGATAAAAAAAAGCTTAAACATCTATAAAAACTGTAAAAAAAAAAACAAATCTATAAAAACAATCTGATCAGAACAGAAGGTTCATTCTCACTTCAATAAAACCAAGTCTGTAAACACAAGGAAAATTAGACTTTCAAATGATTTTAGGTGATTTCTGCCCATAGTCTTGGATTCATGGCTGTGTTAGCTGTGTAATACAGCACACAGTGGGAGAGAAGCAGTGGTGCCGTGTGTGACAGCAGTGTAAGGAATCACTCCGCTACACACACTGAATCTAAATGACGGCATTATACTGAGGCACATATTACTACAAAAGTCAATTGACAATAGCAGTTTGACACAGCAGCTCAAAACTAGAGACAGCATTTCCCAACCACTTGGAAACGATAATAATGAACGATCACATTAATTGCGAAAGGTTGGGCTAGTTAGTTTTTACAGGTAGCCCCAACTGGTAAATGTCATAACTACAGCAATTTGCATGCAAAAAACAAACAAACAAACAAAATTCACCTTTAAGAAGAGAACCATAGATGCAACTTATAAAAAATTGTTAAAATGTGCTTACCACACTAAAGGAAAGAGCAGTCAATAAAATAAGATTAAATTAAAAAAGCAACTGCAAAACGATAAAACAAATGTAAAATGTTGTATTTAAAAAAACAACAACAAAAAAAATTGCATAATAAAACAAAATAAAGAAGTAATTGCAAAACAATAACACAAATGAAAAAAATTGTATTTAAAAAAAAAACATAAATTAGCATAATAACATAAAATAAAGAAGTAATTGCAAAACAATAACACAAATGAAAAATTGTACTTAAAATGGATGAGGGAAAACTTGTGCAGCACTAACCATATATTCATTTGGCAGACGCTTTTATCCAGACAGTTGAGGAAGTCGCAAAACAAAACACAACAAAATAAAATATCAGTTTTTTTTCTTTCTCACTCTCTTTTTCTTCTCTCTCTAAGAGCATATGCTGTTTTGTTGGTGTGTTGATCCGGGCCGCGTGCTACCTGTTTTCGGTGAAGCATGGCGGCCCCGGTTTCATGGGTTTTGAGTACACTCACGTGGCGTCATGCAGTGAAGGTGGCGTCTGCGGTGAGCGTGGAGAAGTGTTGTATGGCTATACGTGAAGCTGTGGGCCATGAGTGCATTTTGTCGGCATCAAAAATTAATAATGCAAATGTCATATTTCTAAAAACAGTAGACAAAGCTAATGAGTTAGTCGAGCAGGGGATTACTATTGATGGTTTATTTACACCTGTTCTCCCTCTGTCAATGCCATCTAAAAAAGTAATGTCGTCTAATGTTCCTCCATTTATCAGTGACGAGTTATTAGCACAGTCCCTCTCCCGTCACGGCAAGTTGGTTTCTCCAATCAAAAAGATCCCGATTGGAAGTGATTCTCTTTTGCTGAAACATGTTGTTTCGTTTAGACGTTTTGTGTATATGATTGTAAAAGACGACGCTGAGCTGGATCTCACGTTTAAATTTCGCATCGATGATTTTGACTATGTTGTATTCGCAACAATAGGAAAAATGAAGTGCTTTGGTTGCTCTAAAGTGGGACATTTAGTCCGCGAGTGTCCTGAAAAATAAAGAAACATCAGTAATTGAACAAAATGTGGGTGACGCAACTGTTTCACCCGTGACAAGTCAACCCATGGTCCGTGCCGAGCCGGAGGCGTCCGCGGCAGAGCAGGCCACAGAGGATCGGACCGAGATGGAGCAGATCGGAACAGAGCGCGCTGAGCCTGAGCCAGTTGCAGCAGAGCTGCCAGAGGTTAACCAGATTCAATCTGAAATTTTTGACGACGATAGACCCGCGGGTTCTATTAATGAGGATGCATGTGAGAGTAATGGCATTGACATGGATGCAGAACAGACACTGTTTAAAGTACCTTTAAAGCGAAAGAAAAGTGATAGTACTGGAGATTTGAGACTTGCAAAGAAAACAGATATAGCTGAATGTGAAGACCAGGGTGACTCAGAGAGTGGCAATGAATCCGATTCTAGTGTCTCTCTTTCACAGAGTGAATGTGTGAGTCGCAGTTATGAAGTGGATGATGTTAAACTTTTTCTGAAATCAACGAAAAACAGAAGAGGAGTAAGAGTAAATGAATATTTTCCTGATGTCAAACAATTTATTGAAAAGACAAGGTGTTGGATGACTGAAGGCTTTTTTTTACCAATAAGGAAGTGTACCGGGTAAAGAAATTGGTGAGAAAACTCAATACTGAATTAAGTAATGATGATGGTGAAAAGAGCTGATTTGATGACATTCAGTGGTTTGCTTTTACTGTTTTATTTCTCATTTCTTATGAGTGAGGTTAATATTGCATCAGTGAATGTAAATGGAGCTAGGGACGTGAGAAAAAGAGTATTACTATATGAAATGTTTAAACAGAAGGAACTAGATGTTATTTTCCTTCAAGAAACGCACAGAGATTTTAAGAATGCTGCAGATTGGTCTAGGGAATGGGACGGTATCTCTATCTTAAGTCACAACACTGCTGTCAGTGGAGGAGTTGCGGTTTTATTTTCAAAAAGCTTTAAGCCAGTTTCTTATGATGTTGAAGAAATTATAAAGGGCAGACTTTTAAAAGTTAGAGCTCTATTTGAAAATCACGTTTTTGTATTTTTTTGTATCTATGTTCCTACTTCAGGGGTTGAAAGAATGTTGTTTTTAAGTACCTTCAATTCAACTCTACAGAATTGTGATAGTGAGGAGCTTTTGGTTTTGGGAGGTGATTTTAATTGTACAGAAGGAAATCTTGATCGGAATCACATTGAACCCCATGGCCCGTCCCGTAAGAGACTTATTCAAATCATTAAAGCACATGAGCTGTGTGACATATGGAGACATTTTAATGAGACTCTAAGACAGTATATGTGGTCTCATACCCATGACAATGTTCTATCTTTAGCTAGGTTGGATAGGTTTTACAGTTTTAAACATCAATATGGTATTTTTAGCAAGTGCTTTATTGTCCCTGTTAGTTTTTCTGATCATAGTATGGTGTGCTGTTCTTTTATTTTAAATTCAATTAAACCAAGTAGTGCTTACTGGCATTATAATAGTGCTTTGCTTAATGATAAAAAATTTAAAGACACTTTTAAATATTTCTGGGAAACTTTTAGAGCTACAAAGAACTCTTTCCAAACCTTAGGGCAGTGGTGGGATTTTGGCAAAGTGCAAATTAAACAATTCTGTCAACAATACACTCGGAACATCACTGTACAGTTATCAAGGTTGATGAAAACCTTGGAGACATCAATTGTCAAACTTCAAGAGTTAGCTGATTCGACAGGGGGGAATAATGTTTTAGAAGCTCTTTCAATGAAAAAAACTCAACTTAGTGATCTTTTAGGAGTTAAGGTGCAAGGACCTCTGGTTCGGTCCCGGTTTCAAAATGTTGACCAAATGGATGCTCCAACTAAATTTTTCTTTAATCTGGAAAAAAAAGAATGGACAGAAACGGTTTATTCACGGGCTGCGTTCTGAATCCCGCACATTAATTTCTGATCCTGTTGATATTAGAAAGAGAGCCGTTTGTTTTTAATGAAAAGCTGTATAGCTGTGAGTATGTTGCAGAGCCTGACATTGAAAATGTCTTCTTTGAGAACTTGACACAGGTGTCTGAGGAAGCAATGGGAAACTCGGTAAGGCTTTGAGCCTAGGTGAGTTGTACAAGGCCCTTCAGGGCATGGAGGCTGGGAAGGCTCCTGGCATTGACGGTCTCCCAGTAGACTTTTATAAGTCTTTCTGGACAGTGTTTGGGGAGGATTTGCTCATGGTGCTCAGTGAAAGCTTGGCTGGAGGG